AGACACTTTACTCTTAGTGGAAAGTAGGATCACAGGTTTGAACAAGAGGAAAGGAGCCAGTAAGTTAAGATATTCTAATATTGTTATATTTTCGATCTAGACATCCCCCCTACCCATGCCTTGTAAGCTCATAGGTGGAGCTCTGGGAGATAATTGGATCAGTCCTCTGATGAGTTCAAAGTTAAATGTGATGTTGGGGTGTGAAGCTTGGTCAAAGGAGGCAGATCACTCAGGACGTTGCCCCGAAAGCTGTATCTTCTTTGCTCCTTTGATCTCTGTGGTTCCTGTCTGCTACACCATGAGCTGTTTCCCCTCTGCTATGCCACCCTGCCTTGGAGCCAGCTGACTGTGGGCTGAAACCTCTATAAACTTGGAGCCAAAATAAACCTTTCCTCCTTTAATTTGTGGGTGTCTGATATTGTGTTCCAGCAACGAGAGAAGTAACTAAGACAAATATTTTTAGGGAGAAGACTGATCTGTATTCATTTCTTTCATAACTGACAAGCCCCAGAGCAATACCTTTTATGTCTGTGGCATAAAAGCAGAAAGAGCACAGTGAGAGAGAAAGTGGAGTTTTCTTGGGTTTTTAATGTAGATAAAGAAATGAGAGCTAGTCCAGGAAAACAAGATTCATATTTATCAATGCTTCTGGGTGTGAGTACTCCTGAAGCTGTTTCTTCCTCCCCCTCCCCCTTCTTCCTGCCTTGAAAAACATCACAATGGCAATTGTGTGTCAGGCATCTGTTGAACGGTGGTTGCACTGAGCACTCTGCCAGTGCTGTACAAGGACAAGAACATCACAGCATTTGTTGTGATGTTCCTTACATGTGACACTTAAACATGTTGCTACCTGAAAGATTACATGGAGGATCCTTTCTTCCTGACTCCAGGGGAGTCAGTGGGCTTGGAGAAAGTACAGCTATAATGCAGTCCAATGTGTCTCTATATAAAAAGGAATGAAGAATAGTACACCGAACAGTCCCACTGTATAATCAAGGAAACATGCCTTGAGTCTGTGGAGCAACAGAAACAATATAAGTTTTTATAAAACTGGCTCCTAAAGTGTGAGGTTCAAACTCTAAGTACTATAAGACCTCAAAAATGAAGGAACTCAGTGAGCACAGATTCTATCAGCACACAGGTTCCCCAGGTGGGACCCCAGAAGGACTTGTTAGGACAGTGAGTAGCTTAGTGATGAAGTTCTTTGTTCAGTCTCCACCAAGGGCTTGTATGCTATTGGAGGGAGGTCAGTGTTCTACAGAGAGCAGGCTCACCCTGATGCCACCCTCAATATCCAGATGCCCACAGTTAAGAAGCAAGAGATACAGCTGAAATGGAGATTCTGCCTGGAGAAGACAAGGCCAGTCATGGGCAAGAGGGTACAACCTATGTGTGTGTGGGGTCACAGGTCAGGGCTGTGCCGTATGAGTATTGCTGCATGGGTCCATGTGCTGCATGGGTATTGCTTTGTGGAAGCAGCTGTGGTCTTCTCTCTCCTGGCAAGTATGGCTCTATGTTCATGGCTTGGCGATAAGAGTGGTGATTTTTGTACTGATAAACCACAACAGTCAGTCCTTTCTTTCCTTCTGTGCAAAAATAACTGATCTTTCTTTATCTTGTAACTTTGAGTGGGTATAAAACCAGCCCCTTCTCATGAGAACCCTCCCCACAATCTTCCTTTACATTTCATCTGTTACTGTGTCGTCTTGTGCTTCTGTGCATCAGCTCAGCACTCCGTATTTGCGTCAACATATGGCGAAAGTACTGCGTTTGGCTATAAAAAGCATTCGGAAGCTCTGTAGGCAAAAATGCCTGGCCTGTGACAAGTAAGGATTTTCCAGTCTCTGCTCCTGTGGCGGGGCTGCACAAACGGGCGTCTGGATGTAACAACCAGTGCATGAAGAAGCCGAGGTTTGCCCACTGACCTTCACAAGCTGCCAAGGTATCGATTGCTCACCTGGCTTAGGCTTTGGGGAAAAGTAAGGGCCTTTTGGCTCCTGAGTTAAGTTGGGTCTTCTAAGCAATGGATGCTGGAAAGGATTAATTATTAAAAAGATTTAATGGGGTGAATTTCTTTGAAAGGTAGTGGGGAGGAGCGCTGAGGATGCTGGGAGAGCCGTCAGGCCCTGATGCAGGCCCAACACTTATAGCTAGGGAAAAGAAAGAAAAACTGAACAGGAATTCTTTAGGCTCTAGTGCAATTCTAAGAAAGGTTTGTCAAGGGTTATGGAGGGACCATGAGTCATGGCCGTCCTTCAGAGGAGTCCCCATCTCCCTGCCTTAGGACCCCTGCTGTGTTTAGTCCTTGCCTGAGAACAGGGTTGGGAAGCATCAGAGTGAAGGTGGTGATGAACCTCCGAGCACAGGAGCTGAGACCACTGGTCACTGCACGCCTCGCCGTGGGAGGTCTCTCTGAGAGGTTTCACTTTAAGGCTAATATATCTGCTCACTTCCGGTTGCAAGCAGCCTCCTCTATTCACTTCTATGTGCTTCTCCTTGAAGACTGGGACCAGAGATGGTACAGAGGGCCATTCAGAACTATTTAAGTTTTAAGGCCTTTGTGGAATTTAACCACACTAAGTACTAGGCACCTAATATTATGACAAAGATTTAGTTTTCCCAGTGGGGAAGTAACAGTGGGTATTCATGTTCACTTTTTTGTTATTTCTCTGAAAGCATTTTTGCAAAGATAAATGACTCATCAACTGGAAGTTTTATTTATTTATTTATTTTATTTTGATATTTTGAGACAGGTTTTCACTATGTAGTATTGGCTGGCCTTGAACTCACTACGTAGTTAGCTTGCTCTCAAACTCATGGTGATCCTTCTACCTCAGCCTCCTGAGTGCAGGCATGTGCCACCAGGCCAGGCTTGCTGATTGGAAGTTTTAAATGATATTAATATGGATTTTTTTCCCATTCAGACCCCATGCAGATACTACCTTGGGCTTCTTCTCCTTGCATCTCACTTGGGTAAGAAAGAGTGGTGACAATATCATTCATAGTGTCTGCTGAATAACTTTTAGGACATGACTGTTTACTTTGTTTTTCATTTTTCTTCCGGTACCAGGAATTGAACTCATGACCTTGCTCTTGCCAGGCAGGCGCTTTGCCACTGAGCTAAATCCCCAGCCCCAGGGCACGACTGTTTAAAAAGTGGTATTCTTACACAAGCACTCCACTTGAAAGGCAGACGATGTATCTTCTTGCTCTTTCCTAACTAGTTTTATTCAACAGGGTAACTGGAGGTTCCTATTGTTTAGTGACAGGCCACACACTCAGTGAAAGTTACAGGTCTGTCACTTATTTTCTCTTGCTCACAAACTTAGGACACAATATGTCTCACTGTTATGGAAGAACTGGCCAAACGCTGCAATAAGAGTGAATAAGATAAAGTGTTCTCAAAGGAAATCTGTTTTCATTCTTACCTGTCACTCTAATTACTTCTCCATATTGTTGCCAAAGTGATAATTCTTATGTGTAAATCTGATTGTCTTACTCTCTTGCCTAAAATCTTTCAATGGTTCTATATTACCATTGGGTTAAAAGTTAAAACATGTCAGAGAAGTCTATTTATGACCTGACCTTCACTCCCTACCTGGAGCCTACCCACTCTAACATTCTCTTTTCTCTCTCCTTTTATTTTCTTCTTACACTACAAATGTACACCAGATCTCTTCAATCTCTCTGTATATACACTGAGTTAATTAGGTTACCTTTAATGGTTACTAATGCAGAAACATTAACATGTCAATAACTACACATCAGAAGTTAATGTTCATACACAACAGCCCAATTTATGTGTCAATAGACAGCTTTCCTCCCCGTTATCTCAGGGACCCAGGTTCTTTAAACTTAGAGACTCAGTCTACTTTAGAGCCTTTGATTTGTTTCCATCCAGTTCATACAAAATAGAAGAGAGAAAGGACTGGTAGAAGTATCACTACCTACTTCAATGCTGGAGCCCAGGGGATCACATGTCAATTTTGCGTGTATTGTTATTGAAAATTGACCAAATGCAAAACAAGCAAAAGACAAAGACCAGACTTAGCAGTCACTTCCCAACAAGAGTTCTACATGTGAAGAGAGTTAGGTCCTGGGGAATTTACAGCTGTTTGTTATTATGCACTGCCACTCATACATACAGTTGGCATTCCAGTTTCTTCTCTGATTCAGCTCACCAAGGCAAATGTTATATAAACTTTAAGATTCACCTGAAATTTTGCATAATTCAAAGGGCTTCAGAATGTCTTCTCTCCATAACAGAGTGTTTCAGAGCATGTGTTATGTAGTATTATTATTGTTTGTCAGAGCATGTGTTATATAGTATTATTATTGTTTGCACAAGAGTTCACTTATATAAACCTGAGCTTCTGTAGAACTGGGACTGTACATTTATTTTAAATCTATAAATTTCTGGCAAAAAATTTGAACCCAACAAATATCTTATTAAGTAATGGAAGCTTATTAGATCATTGGATTCATAAGAAAAGTACAACCTTTAAAATTTGATGTTTTAAAGAATGAACTGTGGATTATTTATTCCAAAACACATTCATCAATCTTAATTTTAAATTGAGAACTGTTAAAGCCTCTAAAAGTTCTTTCTGTTTGTTAGTTAATACCTATTTAAAGGGTTCACAAGTATCAGATTACTATGAGCAACCTAACAAGTCTATAAATTTAGAAATCAAAGATTATCACTTGAATTCAACTCATCATGAAAAGGAATGTTTTGTTGAAAATAACAACATGTAATATAGCAACCACTATTAATTTCCTATCATTTTATTTTGAAATTCTGCATCACTTTTATTGTTTTTGTGCTTGTCTTCGTTGTTATTTTGTTTTTCTTTTCTTTCTCTCTTTAAAAAAAAGAAAAGGAATGTATCATTAGAATGCATTTGGCTATAAGTAAGTAGAAAGCTGACTCAACGTGTTTGTGAAAAATTACAGGATATATTACATGACATAGCAAAAAAAATCTAAAACTAGGATACCTGTGAAGTTGGTTGGTACGTTCAGGAGCTCAGAGATGTCATGTGGGATCCGAGGTCTGTCTGTATCTCGGCCTTACCATCTCCAGGATGCTGACTGTGTCTTTGGACTAAACTTCCTTATGGTCACAAGATGACTGATAATAAAAATGGAGAAAATATTGCCTTGGTCATGTCTTGAGAGAGAGGGAGAGAAAGAGAACAAGACAACCCCTTACCACAAATGAGACTATAAATGATTCCTTTTAATCTAGAGGAACTAATTTAGGTATGTGCAGAGCTGCAGAGCAGAAACAGTCCATCCCTTGACTGGTTAGATTAATTTGCTTCTGGCATAGAAATATTTACTTGATATTCTTTGATGGATAGTAGAGGTGGGTATCTCTTCTATACATAATTTATGGCCTTTCAGGTAGAAGAAAAATCAAAATCATACTGAATACTTAAGCAATAATATCCACTACAAATTTTAGCAATACATTCTATTGATCTGGTATCCACAAGCAAATAATTCAGCACTTTACCTTGCCATTTCTGAAAGTTCCAAGTCATACATTTGTTTTTATTTATTTATTTGGCTTTTTGAGACAGGGTCTCGCTATGCAGTTCAGGCTGGCCTTGAACTCACTTTGTAGCTCAGGCTGGTCTCAAACTCACAACGATCCTCCTGCCTCAGCCTCCCAAGTGCTGGGATTACAGGCGTGTACCACCAAGCCTGCCTCCAAGTCATACATTTAAAAATATGTAAAAGTGAACATTTTAAATTGCCTTCCTATAGTGCAATTATTTGTTCTTTATTTTAGGTCTTGTCATGGGATTGATTCTACGATATGCTACAGCACCAACTGATATTGAAAGTGGAACTGTCTATGACTGTGGGAAACTGAACTTCAGTCCATCAACTCTTCTGGTTAATATTACTGATCAAGTTTATGAATATAAATATAAGAGGGAAATAAGCCAGCACAATGTCAGTCCTCACCAGGGCAATCCCTTACTTGAAAAGGTAAGGATCCTATCAGGTCATATATTTTTTCATATAACAGTTTCATCATGTATGATCTTATAAGAAAAGCATCTGTACGCATATACATGTTCCTTTCAATACCATAATATTTTGATTATTTATTTAAATAATAGGTGAATACATTGAGTTCTCATCTTGTTATACAGTAATAAGCTCAGTTGTCAATATTCTTCCCTAGAAGTTGGGACAGGTTTTTAATATGATTATTTTGCAAGGCAGAACTTTATTAAGCTTTTAAAAAGATACATAAAATTCAGCAACTCTGTCTTCCTTCATATTTGATGCAAGATTTCACACGTGTGTTTTAAGTGTCATTGTATATACTGCCAGCTGGCTATTTGGTTCAAATCTCCCTTAAGCCAAGGAATGAAAAAAGTTCCTTTGCAAATCTGTTCTAGGATGACTGGCTTTTGTCTGACAACACAAAATGCTGCCCACTTGGCTGTATGTAAATATACTGATGTGTGACCACTCTCAAGATATCTTTCTGTTGTTGTTTTGTTTTGTTTTGTTTTTTCCGGTACCAGGAATTGAACTCATGACCTTGCGCTTGCCAGGCAGTTGCTGTGCTGCTGAGCTAAAATCCACAGCCCCATTCTCAAGATATCTTGACTCTGTGCATTTGTTTAGGGAATCTTAGATTAAAAGAGAAAAAGGAAAAGAAAAATTATGGCTGATTTATCTTTTAAAAATGGTTGAAATTTAGGGTTGTTGTTCAGTAGCAGAACACTTTCCAGTACTTCTCCAATGACCAACATTGGAGAAAAAAAGTTTCATTGCAAATTTGTAAACTTTTTCAGTTACTAGAAGGAAAATTTTCATTTGCCCTCAGGACGCAAGTTCAGAGATTCAGTGGTAGGCTGGATTTTACCATTTCTATGCCATGCAGATTTAATTTTTTTTTTTATCAAATTATTTAGCAATTTTCCATTTTGAGAGGTGTGAGGCAGTTGAGGAGGTATTCTATCTGCTGTTTTCCTCATTCATGATGGTTACTTTAGAGTCAGGATTTTCACATTGTGTTTGATCAATACATGTCTAGATTAGTTTTCTCATAGCTCTTGGTTAGAATGCAAGAAAGTCAAATTAATTATATTAACCAAAATCAGAGCTAGCCAGTAAAAGTAACACACAGTAAGAAGTTGAATAATACATTTCTGAAATAAATATTAGTAACTGCTAGGGGTTATGTTTTGGATTATTTTTTCCATGTGACTCTTTGTTTACATGGGTAGCAGATAGATACTTACCTCTTGAAAAGAAGTTAAATTTAAAATGACTTAGTGATAACATAGGAATTTAAATACACTCTTCAACTTTACCTTTGATTAGTACCTTCCCATAAATTATTCCTTTCCTCACTCTCCTACCTACTTTTATGTACATTCTTGCACAATATTATTTCTCCAAACAGGTTAATCTTACCAAGATGCTGATAATTACTTCTGTTGCTGTAGCAATTTTCATCTCTCTCAGGGTAGCCAATACATGTCCAATCAGAAATTTTGATCGGAAAATTGTATCCTTCATATATTGATTACTTTATCAGCAGCCAAAATCAAGTGTTTCCTTTTGAAAATTAAAGCAGAAGAGGAAAAAATGTTTAAGATACTGAGGCTCTCTTGATTTTCTCAGCTAGTAGATTATGAATTCTGCATATAAAATAGCTCTATAATTTTCTAGATAAACTTCTAAGTCATTGTTGCTTCAAACATCCAGGGTTGGGATTTGGTGACCCAGCACCCAGAGATATCCTTCCCTCTTTGAGGATGGAGAAAGGGGCTCATACTGGCATGTTTGCTCTAGTAGATGCTTTTAAGTGAAAAAAAATTCTTATTTTAAAATGGTTGAAGCATATCTTACTTCATACATGTTGCTTATGGGCCAATAATGGTGGACACAAGTTGGCCTGAAAAAATGAACAATCCCTGGACTAACTTTCATTTGGGAATCTTCTGTAACGTACAATGATTCATATCAGTAAACTGATTAATCTAGGTCCATTTATTGTAAGTCTTGCAAGGAGGTAATGTGGATTACACAGCAATGTCATCCCCCCCAAGTTCCTTTTACTTTCCATGCCACTGCTTTTTAATTTGACTGTTACACAAAAACACACAAGTTGTACATATTAGTGGAGTGTTATGTAATGGTTTTACACATGTATACATTGTCTAATATATTCATCATATTACACATACCAGTTTTCTCATGTATCATTTCTTCATGGTAAAAGCAATCAGAATCCTAACTACAGAATTATTGCCTACAGTCACCTATTGAGCAGTAGCACAGCAGAACTTCTGGCTTTTATCCAACTCTAATTTAGTACCATCAGTCCACCTCCCTTACTCATGCTCAACTTCTTTAAGATCAACTTTCTTAGTTTTAAAGTAGGGAGACTAATTTTGTAGGACTATTGTGTAGGACTGTTTAGTTTAGACAAGATGATGTATACAATGTACCTGGCCAACATGGAGTAGTTACGTCATACTGCTATCACAGCTACTACTCCAGGTGCCAGAACTATTGCTACTGCACTACCATTGCCACACTGCCACTTTCACTACTTCCAATGGTAATGTTACCATTGATACCACCAATGTTTGAACACTTAATATATGTAAGGGATTAATAAAATGTACCTGTTTTAGTCATTTCTTTAACATCCAATTGGAGGAATAAGATCAATGTATAATATATGCCTATACATAACAGTTATAAATTCAAATATATGGATTTTAAGGACTATAAAACTTTACAGATTGTCACCTACACTTGGACTTGTCCCCCAGGATTCCTGGGGGAGGCAGCACTTGAGAAGGGCTTTGAAAGATGGACGTGGTTTGGGAAAGCAGTAGGAATTCAGCTCAGCTGGCCATGGTGTGCATACTTGTAGTCTGCTACTGGGGAGGCTGAGGTGGATCACCTGAGTCCAGGAGTTCTGGGTTGCGGTGGGCTTTGTCCATTAGGCATTCAGCCCAGGTTGAAATTCAGCTCAGAAAGGTCATTAGAGAAGGATGGATTGAAGCATGATACTGAAGTATGTGGTTATCCAGGTAAGGAAAGAAGGGGGCCCTTTGGATCAAAAGAACTTCCTTGATATATGGGAACTGTGCAAAGAAGCATCAAGATTCTAAGGATTTCAAGAATCCTTCCTGGCTTGAAAAATACTGGGTCCCAGGATAAAAGTGAGGGAGACAAAGAAGATTTGAGAATGAAGAGAGATAATAATGACTCTGGATCTACAGATAGACATCATCTAAGTAAAGAGCAGGGAGACCTGACCTCTTTTAGTGGAATCTCATCATTTTATAGATGTATAAGACAGGCACTTAAGCATTAAAATTGATACTGATAGGACAAGAGAGACTCCATTTTCTTTTTTAACTCCATATTAAGAGAAGTACTTACATACACTCAAGCTGTAGCTGACCCTACTCTTCACCCCCTCCCCTTGGTTAGTTATCAACCCACTTAAAGGAGAGCAGAGTCATAAAATGGGAACAGAACAAACAGAACAAATTGGGAAGTAGGCTAAAAGTTAAACTACAATGGTCATTTGAAATCTGACTCTCAGACAGCTTCTGGGAGAACTAAACTTTGTGATAATTGTGTGACATTCTTGTGAGATTCCCAAAAATAAGGTAATGGTTACTATGGAAATCTAAAATACACTTAAACTAAAAGTGAGACACAGATCAGCTTGGACACTTCTCTGGCTTATGGTTAGAGACTGTCCTTCAGGTGGCTTAATAAAGCTTTGTTTGTTCCTGCCTTTTCAGTTTTCTTGTGAGTGCCTTTCTCTTTGAACTTACTTGCCATATCAATGTAAGTCAATGATCTTAAAGCTGGCCACACTATGGAGTAATCTGGAAGCTTGAAGAAGATCACAATGTCTATGTTCCACCCCTTGAGTTTATGACTTGACTGGAGTAGCCTGAGTTTGGAGATGTTTAGAAAATTACTAATGGGCAGATGAGTTTGGAAAGCACTGATTTATATCCGGCACTGCATTCAGGTGAACCTGATAAGGAGGGGGATGCTACTTTATTCTTCTTCCTTTAGTCCCCACAGCTATAGATCCTTTGGTCTCTTATTTTGTTCCCTCAACACACCAAGAACTATCGTGCTTCAGTATCTCCCCATATGTCATTATTTTTGCTAAAACTAGCTTGCTCCTACCATCTAACATCAGGCGTCTTCCCATCTCAAAACCTAGGCTTGAAATCCCATCTCTTCAGAGAGGGCATGCCACTGCACCCTCTCTCTCTCTATGTCTCTCTGTCTCTCTGTCCTTCCCTGTATGTTTCATAGTACTTAGCACCAGGTGAAATGCAATATTTATTTTCTGGCTTTTTGCTGATTATCATTCATATGCTGGTAAATGTCAAAAGTTAAGGGCCGTGCCTCTGTTGACCAATGTATCACCAAAGCATAACATGGTATCTCATGTGTAGTAGCTACTAAATAAATAGTTGGTGAATGAATTAACGAGTATCAGAAAGAGTTTGAGACCTTGGCAAAGCATTATAGCTGAAGAAGTATACAATATTCTAAAATTATCATCTTCAAATGTATAGAATTATAGTGTCTTGGATGCTTAATGCTTAAAGAAATCTAAGTTATTCTGTAATTTTAGTTGTGCATGTGTACATAGTGAATTACTGCCCAGGGATAACAAGATGGGGCCAGATTGCACTGCTAGTGGGCCAAGGCACAATTGGTATTTATAATCCTTGATCCTGAGTCTTGAGCGGCTTATTGTGCCTCACTCTACTAGACAGGCTCTCTGAAAGTCCCATTCACAGAGAAGGAGAAGGTTCCTGGGCTGAAGCTAAACTCCATAGTTCCAGGAAGACATTGATGACCAGAGCCGAAAAGAGTGGAGGTTCATTACCCTTCAAAAAGAGGCCCAGAGTGGTGGTGGCCCAGAAGTCACCACAGGGGCCTCCCTGCATCCTCTTCTTCTGTGGTATGCATGAAAGGGAGCGTTTGGTCTTTGTTTCTAGAAATCACAGGTTTTGAAAATGAGCTTTTATTCTTAGTAAAAGAATGTAGTTTAGGGGCTTGGATGAAATGCTTGACTTCAAGATCTGGCGAGGCTAAAATGAATTCCTGTGCTGCGTAGTCGCCTCTTGGAAGATTCTGTAAGAGCACGAATGTTTCTGAGATGGCTAAGCTTTAACGTGATTGGAAACAGAGCCCTGCTTGATGGCTTCATATATTTCTTCTAAGAAGAAGGTATAGAACTGGAAAACCTAAGAACTATTGCAATTTATACAAGCAACAGTGTATTATACTTTTATGCCATATGTAAACATATAAAGTTTCAGGAAGTACCATATGCCAAGTTTGTTTTGTTCGTGCTCCACACAGATAGAAATTTTGAACAGAAAATAAGTGGTGAAAACAGTATTCTATGTTATGAGCCGATGAGGAGCTAAAAACCGCCTCTGATAGGACAAACCTAGCCCATGTTGCTGTATGTATATATATATATATATATATTTTTTTTTCAGTGTTTCCAATGCCATTTGCCAAATTGTTCTGTGGATCTAAGGTATCTTTAATTAAGTTTTAAAGTTTTGGGTCCAAAATTTTATTACACATTGGTTTTATGACATTAGTTTCCTATGTAATACCTAGCAATACCAAAATATATATTAGGAATTTCTGGATTTCATATCAATAGGCAGTTCAAACAATTTATTTCAAAAGAATCTTCTCCTGTTACTAGTGCTTTAAATTATTTATTCTTTCAACATGAATGAACTAGTGAGTCCTATTGATTTTAATTCCATGTTTTCAAGGAGTGCACTAGTAAGTTAAAGAAAAACGTGACGCATGAATAAGTACATAAATAGCGCTAAAAGGTGAGCGGCAAGGGGTAGGACTAGAAGCACAGATGCTCAGAAAGGGGCTGTACTGATTCTTGTTAGTGTGGATTTCAAAGAGTACTGGTTGAGCCTGCTGGTTAGTAGTGTGTGTGGTGTCTGGAGCAGGCTGGGAAGGCTTTTGAGATGGAGAAAAACAAAATAAAGAGAAGAAAAAGGGGTAAAGAATATTCCAGGAAAGACAACACTTCCAATTTGTTAAAGTTTGGTAGACCCATAAAACACAGGGCAGGAAGTAAAAGCACATCTTGATTATAGTCTTCCTGAAAGCCAGCTTGAGTATGCCCACCCTGTTTGTAGTCAGCGGAGAGTATAATTTTGACAAAAGCAAAGGGATTTTTCAGATGTCATGAGCAGGATATTAAGCCAAAACAAAGAGAGACAAAACCTAAACCTGGGAGATAACGAGGGGTGTGGTGGAGGAGGAGAAGAAGAAAGGCTATGCAGGTTTTCAACCCCTGTGGTGTAAAGAAAAAGAGGAAGAAGAATGTACTCGGCTTCCCTGCACTTGTGGATTGTCAAAAATACTGAGGCAAAAGAGGGCAATTAGAATTTAGGAGAAGATGGCTTGTAGGGGGAAATCACAAGCATGGTTTTGTAGTGGATTGATAACTGGTGGTCAACTTATAACCCCCAGCTGCACTGAGTGAGTGGTGCTGGGTATGGGAGGCC